TCCAAGACGTTCGAAGAGGGCACCAAAGGACCCCTAGACTGCCTCACAGCAGGCCGAGACAGCCACAAGACGGCCCAAACGAGTTCCATGAGAGTTTTTCAGATAGTGAACACGAAAGGTGTGAACGTCCGTGGGCAGAGACGGTGGGGGGTCCTTTTCAAAATGCGAAGCACCTGCACATCGTGCAGGCGCTGGCTGAAGCTAAAGCGGCGCGCGGTCGCCGAAAGGAACCTAGGGGAGCCTCGTTCCCAGGGGCCTACGCAGGCCAACGGCCTGCGGTGCCACAAGCGAAGGACGGTGAGGACCACCGAATTGTTTACAGCCGACCCGCATCATCAGGATGGGCAGCCTGCCCCAGGGTACCCTCGCAGCCTTGCCTCCGCGGTCCATCCTTGGACACTCTCGCTGGCCGCGCCCCGCTTGCACAGCTTCGAAAGGGTCTTCCGACGCCGAGGCTCTTTGCGTCCGCACCCTGCGTCCTTCTGACACGGGCCGCCTGCCGGAGAGCCTCGCGGGCAGCGCGCGCGGCCGAGACGCCGCGCGCCTCGCGCGCGCCGTGCCGGCCGCGCCGCAGAAGAGCACGCCGCCCCGCCTCGGGCACGGACGCTGGGGGCCCTGCAGCGGGGCCGAAGCTCACCACCCACCAACCCACCCCAACCCAACCCGAAGGCCCCGATTTGCCCTCCATTTCCAGTGGGGGGGGGGGGTCGGGGAACATTTTGAAAGAATACATATGGAACCCGCACCCCCCCCCCACCCCGAAATTCGAGTCTTCGGGATGGGTTGGGGTGGTCTGGCAGGTAGTCAGAAGCGGTGCACGGCGGCCTGCGTGGCCGGGCCGGGGCGACGGAGCCGGCAGTTGGGCATCGGCGGCGAGCCCATCGGGCCGGGCGAGAGGGGGGGAGTGGGAAAGGGGGGGTTACGATGTTTGCTGCATGCAGCTGGTTTCGGCCTCGCCGAGGGGCCCATTCCTCGATACGTAGCCGCCTCCGGCGCCGGGAGGCGCCGGGAAAATCAGCCACGTGAGCTGATTCTCAAACCCCCCCTTTGCTATCCCCCCCTTTCGCCCGACCCGAGCCCATGGGGGAGGCGAGAAGGAGAGAAGGCCTTCTCAGAAGGCCCGGAAGTCCCCCGGGCCTCCTGGGCAGCTCTCCGCGGACCTTCCCTAGGGAGGCAGAAAACACTTCTCGGAAGGCGCGAGGGCGTCGGAGAAGTCCCTCCGCCTTCCGAGCATGCCTTCTCCTTCTCACTTTTCCCCCACTCTCTCGCCGCCGACAGTAACGCGGGGGCCGACCGTGTTTGGGTGGACCCATCGCCGCTCGAGCCCGCTGGGTCGGATCCCGCAGAGACCCGATGTCAGCTTCCAGGGCGGCAGTGCGTTCACGCGTCGTGCCCGGCGCTGTAGCGCCGACCGCCGAGGTGACAGGGGGCGGTTGCGCGGAGGGCGACGCTGCGGTTGCCACAGTTCCAGCACGCCAGGAGGAGCCGAGCGTCAGGGTCCCCTAAACCAGGACATTGGCAACCGGCACTTTGAGAATCCCACCCGTCTTCAGAGAACGAAGACAGGATTAACGACGACCCGCGGCTTCAGGTTTCTCGGGCGCCACGATGTGCTGGTCTATCCAAGTCTTTTTGTGAGGGGGGCCCTGTGAGTGTCCATGGCGTCGCGATGGCGCTGCCAGCAGGGCCGGGCTGGGGGAGAGGGCCCCGACGGGGGCGGCCGTGTCCTGCGCCCCCCCCCGCCCTGGCCTGAGACGAGAGGGACTTAGTTGCCTCGATACGCCCGTTTTGAAGCGCAATACGTCCCGTGTTCAACACGTCCGTGCCAATACGTTGCGTGTCGGCTCCACGTATTGGACCACGTTTTTTCGCGAGTGTATCGCGTCGGACCTACGTTTTCAGCCTACGTGTTGAGCTCCGTATCAATACGATACGTGTTGCGTGTTCCGTAATGGAGGATGACGATTAATAAATGACCGGGGGTCGTGCTCACGCGGCGGCGCCCGGGATGACGATTAGAAACAACCGGCCGCGGGTTGGAAAACTATGTTTTATCGTTCTCCTCCAGTCAGAAAGTGGTGCAGAACTAGCAGAGAACTATTTGTTGAATCGTTCCCTCCCATTTTTTATGAATCGCCATCCCGCATTGTCGCGGCAGCGAAGTAGAGGGGGGGCCCCTCAGCGCACCAGGGGCGCGACCTGCGCCTGGGCGGGGGGGGGGGCCGTGGCCGTGCGGCCCCGGCGCGGCGCCGCAGCTCTGGGGACATGGCTCCGTGGCCGGAGGACGTCGAAGCGCACGGTGCCGTCGGCGGGGCTGTCGTTGAGACCGCCGCCCCGGCCGAAGTCATCGATGCCGTCTTTCGGGGCATCTCCGCCGGCCCACGCGAAGTCCTGGGACGCGGGATGGGGGAGATGCGAGGTGTCTCCGCCAGCCCCGCCTACGATGCGGTGGGGTGGGGGGGAGGAGCAGGAGGAGGAGGAGGAGGAGGAGGAGCAGGAGCAGGAGGAGGAGGAGGCCAAAGACATCGGTAGCGTCTTTCCACACGAAGTCCTGGGACGCGGGGTTGGGGAGATGCGAGGTGTCTCCGTCAGCCCCGCCCGCCAACCTGCGTGGCGGCGAAGTCATTCGTGGAGTAGCCCGCCCGTCTACGATGGGGTGGGGTGGGGAGGAGGACCAGGAGGAGGAGGAGGAGGAGGAGGAGGAGGAGGAGGAGGAGGAGGAGGAGGAGGAGGAGGAGGAGGGGGGACGAGGGGACGGAACATGAGGTGGAAAACGGGGGAGGGGGAGCGGGAAGGGGAGAAAGGAGGAGGAGGAGGAGGAGGCGGAGGAAACGGATGAAAAGGAGGAAAAGAAGGAAAAGGAGGAAAAGAAGGAGGAGGAGGACCAGTGTAAACCTAAGGGTCATCAACGATGTTGGAATACAACCTCCCTCCAAGCTCCTCCTCATAGGCCCCTACACCGGTTCATTTCCATTGAGGGAACGGCCTCGTTGGAAAACAACCGTTGGAAGATCCTGAAACATGCCACGACATTGTTCTCGGGATTCCAACGTCACGGATCAACCTGACTGTTGCGTTTCGACGATCTTGAACCGTGTGAGAACACCATTTTTGCGATTTCAGCACCGCGAATGAACGTGACTGGTGCACCCGCATAATCGTGAGTCCTCCCAAAACACAAGTGCTGGCACGCTGATCATGGCAATCCGCGAAACTCTTGGAATTTGTATTAACGAATGTGCGCGGCGCTAAGGCGGGAGCCACATGTTGAAAAGGAACCGCCTTCGATCCGTTAAACTCTTACAAGTATTTAAAACGAATGTGGCGGCGCTAAGGCGAGAGCCACATTTTGAAAATGGGTTTCCATCAATATGTGAAACTCTTGCAAGTTTGCCCCAACCATCCTGTGGCGTTGGGTCCTCATTTTGAAGAGAGGTCCCCGCGTTCCTTCCCTCTCTCCTTCATTCCTTCCTTCCTCCTCCTTTCTCCTCCCCCTCCTCCCCCTCCTCCTTCCTCCCTGCGTTTCACCCACACACTACAGCGCTTCGTGGCCCCATAGGGAGCTCCACCGAAACCCCCACTGGCACCGCCCGCATGCGTCAGCCACCACCCAGCACAGCGCGTCGTGGCCCTACAAGGGAGCTCTATTGAAGGCCCCAGTGGCACCGCCTGCATGCGTCAGTCACCACCCAGTACAGCGCTTTGTGATCCCATAGGGAGCTCCACCGAAGGTCACAGCGGCACCGCCAGCATGCGTCAGCCACCACCCAGTACAGCGCTTCGTGGCCCCATGATGGGTTCCACCGAAGGCCCCAGTGGCACCGCTCGCATGCGTCAGCCACCACCCAGTACGGCGTTTCGTGGCCCCATAATAAATTCCACCGAAGGCCCCAGTGGCACCGCCCGCGTGCGTCAGCCACCACCCAGTACAGCGTTTCGTGGCCCCATAAAGGGGTTTCACCGCAGGCCCCAGTGGCACCGCTTGCATGCGTCAGCCACCACCCAGTGCGGCTTTTTCGTGGCACCGTAGGGAGCTCCATTGAAAGGCCCCACTGGCACCGCCCGCATGCGTCCCCTCCACCCAGTACAGCGTTGCGTGGCCCCGTAGGGAGCTCCACTGGCCCGTCCGCATGCGTCAGCCACCACCCAGTACAGCGCTTCGTGGGCCCATAGTGAGTTTCACCGCAGGCCCAAGTGGCACCGCCCGCATGCGTTCCCCCCTCCCAGTACAGCGTTTCGTGGCCCCATATGGAGCTCCACCGAAACCCCCATTGGCACCGCCCGCATGCGTCGGCCACCACCCAGCACAGCGTTGCGTGGCCGCACAGGGAGCTCCACCGAAGGCCCCAGTGGTACCGCCCGCATGCGTTTCCCCAGCCAATACAGCTCTTCGTGACCTCATCGGGGGCTCCAGCGAGGGGCACCGCCCGCATGCGTCAGCCACCACCCAATACAGCGCTTCGTGGCCCCATAGGGAGCTCCACCGAAAGCGGCACCCACAACGCGTTATTCACAACGGCATATGGTTGGGTCTGCGCCTGGATGATTATTAAGCGAATGCGCGCGGCGCTTAGGCGAGAGCCACTTGTTGAAAACGGGTTCCCCTCAATCCGTGAAGCTCTTGCAAGTTTTTTGTTAAACGAATGCGCGCGTCGCTGAGGCGAGAGCCACACTTTGAAAATGGGTTCCCTGCAATCCGTGGAACTCTTGCAATTGTATTGTTGAACGAAAGTGCGCGGCGCTAAGGCGAGAGCCACATTTTGAAAACGACCCGCCCTCCATCTGTGAATCTGTTGCCGATTTTGAAGCCTCAGGGTCATACGTGGTGAGGAAGTCTAAGGCCAAACGCCGAGCCCGCCCTCAAAACTGGCCTCGGGGTGCGACATGGAGAAGTTATTCATCAGCGAAAGGAAAAGAAGAGGAGGAGGAAGAGAAGGAGGAGGAGGAGGAGGAGGAGGAAGAGGAGGAGGAGGAAGAGGAAGAGGAGGGGAGAGGAGGAGGTACCGCAGGCGTGGCGCATGGCCACTGGCGCCTGGCTTCCATGCAGTGACCCACGGTGCGATGCCGCGCTGCTGGCAGGCTGGGACGGCACGAGGATCGTCTTCGCCCAAGAGGGCCCGGGCCCATCGGCCGAGCACCGGTCGGGGCTCAGGAGACGGGGGTGAATGCAAAGGCGGGTCAGTCAGAGCGCTTGATCTTGCAGGATCCTGCAGAGCCAGGGGCGCATTTACCCAGGCTGGGGCGCAGGATCCTGCAGGATTCTGCAAGATCTTGCAGGATCCTGCAAAGCCCGACTGGCCCGGGTTGGGATTGACAAAGGTACGGGAAAATGGGATCATTGAGTACAAAGTCCAACAGCAGTTCTTGTTCAATTTGATCAGGGTTCACTGTCGGCGTCGCCGCGGCCGTTGTCCGTTCGAGAGAACACGCCGCCGGCCCAACAGCGGCCCCTGTCGGTTTTGGATAACATCTGTTGTTGGGCATCGGACCCATGTTCCTCGTAACTACCCATTTCGGGCTTTCAGAATTCCTCCTCCTGTGCGATTGCTCAACGTGAATACTACTCTCCGGTCGGCGGCGAGCGAGGGGGCGAAGTGAGAAGGAAAAAGGCCTGCTCAGAAGGCGGTGGGGCTTCCCAGCGGCCCTCGCGCCTTCTTGGAAGTCTCCTGTGCCTTCGGGGGAGGCTCAGAAAACGCCTCAGAAGGCTGGGGGGACCCCACTGTGCCCGCACCAGGGGTCACTCCAGCAAAACATCACTCTTGCATATAGCCTGAGAAGGAGGAGGAGGAGGAGGAGGAGGAGGAGGAGGAGGAGGAGGAGGAGGAGGAGGAGGAGGAGGAGGAGGAGGAGGAGGAGGAGGAGGAGGAGTGGGAGGAGGAGGACTTCCGAGCCTTTGAGAAGGCCTTCCCCTTCTCACTTCCCCCCCAAGCTCGCCGCCGAGTTTCCCCTGACGCTGGCCAGTGCGGCGGCCCTGTCCACTGCGGCGGCCACCTGTCCCGCGTAGGGTCCCCCCCACCAGACATGATGTATTCTAGACGCTTCGCGTACCCATCGGTCGTTGAAAGTAAGTATTTTTGGATTCCCAGATTCCAATATACGTTTAGCGCCTTCCTTCTTCCATGATCGAGTGATTTCACCTTTTCCGTCCTCTTTAGGAGGCGGGTGGACACCCAATCTATTTTCAACGCCTTCCTACTTCATGTTTCTTCCTATTCCTTCCGACCGGTCGGTAACCCCACCAGCCCACCCAGAAACGATGCCCAGGCGAGTTGCCCTGATCAGGCATGTTGGGGAGCACGCAGTGGAATAAAGGCTGGGGAGCCGTCATACCCCAAGAGGGCGACGATAGGATGATGATGATGATGATGATGATGATGATGATGATGATGATGATGATGATGATGATGATGATGATGATGATGATGATGATGATGATGGAGGAGGAGGAGGAGGAGGAGGAGGAGGAGGAGGAGGAGGAGGAGGAGGAGGAGGAGGAGGAGGAGGAACAGGAGGAGGAGAAGGAGGAGAAGGAGGAGGAGGAGGAGGAGGAGGAGAGGGTTAGGCGGATGAGGAAGAGGAAGAGGATGCGTGCGAACAGGAAGGCCAGAGGCCTCTCGGATGTTTCTCGGAGTCCTTTCGGATGTCTCTAGAGAGCTTCTTGTAGGCCTGTTTGGGCGTCTCGAGGGTCTCTTGGCGGCCCCGGGGGCGTCGCGAACTTCTTGGGTGCCTCGGAGGGGCCTCTTAGGGCGTCGTGGGGGTACATTGGGAGCCTCTTGGGGGCACCTTGGGGGCCTCTGGGCCGCCTGGGCGCCTCTTGCGGCCCTAGCGGGGCACTCTCGGGGGCCATCCTGGTGCCATCTTGGGGCCATCTTGGGGGGGATCGATCGAGGAAGGGGGGTGGTCCAATGAGGCCCCCTTCCCCCCAGGTGGCCGAAATTGGCCAAAAGCCTCAGCAACATCAGTGATTTGGGCTGTCTCGCCGAGGCCATCTTGGACGCTCCAACGCCTCGCGACCCCCCCCAAGGGTCCAGTGGGAGGGGGTAGGGGGAGGGGTCAAGACCCCCCCCCGCCCGCAAGCCGTCTCGCTCACTCCCACCCGCCCTCCCAACACATACGTAGCACCCGAGTCTGGCCCGAGCCTCAGCATATTCAGCAGTCGTCTTTGGATGGGTAGCTACTGGGGGCCATTCCGCCGCCGCCACCGCTGCCTCCGCCGCCGCCGCCGCCGCCGCTGCCGCCGCCGCCGCCGCTTGCCGCCGCGCCGCCGCCGCCGCCGCTGCCGCTACCGCCACCGCCGCCGCCGCCACCGCCGCCGCCGCAGCCGCCGCCGCAGCCGCCGCAGCCGCAGCCGCCGCCGCCGCCGCCGCAGCCGCCGCCGCAGCCGCCGCCGCCTCCGCCAAGTGTACTCTGTATTGTTTTTTGTCAGGGGTGGTGTTGGGGGGGGGCGCATCGGATTGGCTGCGCATGTTCCGAATTTGGGGGCAGAGTGTGTTTCGTATTGTTTTGTACAAGGGGTTGTGTGTGGGGGGGGTCGTCATGGACCTGGGTTGGCCCCAGTCGCCTGGGGGAGGGGGTGTTCAGTAATAGGGAACAGTGATCAAGACAGCCTCCAGATAGCAAGCCGTCTAGCTCACTCCCACCCGCCCTGCCAACACATAAGTAACACCCGAGCCTCAGCATGTTCCGCGGTCGTCTTTTGATGGACAGCTACTGGGAAGCAGAACCGAGCCCATGTGCGCGACGCTGGGGCGAGGTGCGCCACGCGTGCCAGGCGCGCCACGCGCGCCAGGCATCCCTGGGGCCCGAGAGTGTCAGGCACGCATAGTGCGCCAGATGCTTCCCCCAGCCGCGCCAGGTGCGCCACGTTCGGGGCACGTGCAGAGTGTGTCAGGTGCGCCTGCGCACATGACAGCACACATCGGGAAACATGTCGGCCCCCACCATCCCTGTCGAGAACCAATGCCCATCATTGTGTCTGGTGGGCCTGTACACAGCAGGCCACACACCACCACCCCCGCCGTCCCTGACAAAAACCACTTGATAATGATCGCGGGGTGGCCGCGCACTATCCACATTTAGCCGCGGGGTGCATGTTGTATTGTGTGTGTGTGTGTTGTCAGGGATGGTAGCTTTGCGCGCAACAGGCAATTCTAGACGCTTCGCGTATCCCCACCAGCCCGTCCAGAAACGACGCCCAGGCGAGTAGAGGGTCGTCATGAGGGGCTTTTCGGTGTCTTGGGTGCCTCGGGGGGGCCTCTGTGGGCCGTTCGGAATCCTCATTGGGGCCTCCTGGGGGCCTCTTGGGGCCTCTTGGGGCCATCTTGGGGTCTCTGGGAGCACCTTGGGTGCCTCTGGGGGGTCTCTTGGGGCCTCTTGGGGGTCTCTTGGGGGCCTCCTGGGGGCCCTCTTGGGGGGCCTCTTGGGGCCATCTTGGGGCCATCCTCCTCTTGGGGCATCCTGGGGGCCTCTTGCGGCCATCGTGGAGGAAATCGATCAAAGAAGGGGGGTTCCTAAATTTCAGCCCCCCCCTCAGAAGGCCAACATGGGGCCAAAACCATAGTAAAATCAATCATTCTGGCTTCCTCGCCGAGGTCGTTTTGGGCGCTCCAACGCGCCGCGGAACCCCCTGTCCAGGTCAGTGGGGAGGGGGTAAGGGGGAGGGGTAAACCCCTCCCCGAAGGGGAAGAAGGAGGGGTGGAAGAGGAAACTCCGTAAACCACCGACGCCCTAAAGGGCTGGTGGGATATGCAGACACCTCTACCGTCCCTGTCGAAAAAACCAATACAAAGTGCCTACGAACATGACTCCAGACTTTGCCCCAAACTGTACTGTGTATTGTTTTTGTTGACAGGGATGGTGGGGGGGCCGCATCGGGTTGGTTGCGCACTCTCCGAATTTGTAGGCAGAGTGCGTTTGCATTGTTTTTTGAAAGGGATGGTGGGGGGGCCCCTCATGGTTTGCGCACGGTTCCGTGTTGGCTGCCGGCCGGGTGGGGGAGAGAGTGCTTAATAATAGGGAACAGTGATCAAGACACCCTCCCCGCCCGCAGGCTGTCTCGCTCACTCCCACCCGCCCTCCCAACACATCTGTAGCAACCAGGCCTCAGCATGTTCAGCGGTCGTCTTTAGATGGACAGCGAACGGGAGCCAAATCAGATTTTATATGTGCAACGCTGGGGCGAGGTGCGCCACGCGTGCCAGGCGCGCCACGCGCGTCAGGTGAGCCAGGCAACCCTGCGGCCCAAGCGTGCCAAGCACGCCTGGTGCGCCAGATGCGCCACGTGATCCACGTGCGCCACATGTGCCGCATGCTCCAGCCTCGCCAGGTGCGCCACGCTCGGGGCACGCGCAGAGTGTGCCAGGTAAGCCTGCGCACGTGGCAGTGCACATCGGGAAACGTGTCGGCCTCCACCACCCTTGTCGAAAACGAGTGTACAACCGCGGCGGGGTGGTCATCATAGTGTATGGTGGGCCTGTACACAGCAGGCAATATGCCGGCGCCCCCGCGGTCCCAGTCAAAAACCAATGCGCAGTGATCGCGGGGTGCCCGCGCATGATCCAGATTCTGCCTCGAAGTGCATTCTGCCTTGTTTTCTGACAGGGCCTGCTGGCCCTGCGCGCAGCATGCAATCTGCGGGCACCCCCGCCGTCCCTGTCGCAAAAGAAGGCAACGTGCCCTCGCCCCCCCCCCCGATCATGACGCAAGATATTGCCCCAAAGTGGACTTCACTTTGTTTTTTGACAGGGAACAACGCCGTCCTGGTCATGGGAGCAAAGTGGGGGTGGGTCCTCACTGGTCCTGGTTGGCTGCCGGTCGCCTGGGGGAGAGGGCGTTTACTCACAGGGAACAGCCCCTCCCCGAAGGGGAAGCAAGGGGGTTGGAAGACGAAACGCTCTAAGCGCTCACGCACTGAAGGGCTGGTGGGATTACAGCTTCAGGTCCTCGAAGGTTGGGGAGTGAGTTCGGAGTGAAGCCGAGACCCCCCCTGCCGGGAAAGCGG